TTGGACTGCAAGTTGGTCTTTAAAAAATATTAATTCGGAGCTTTTAAAATATATTTATTATTATAAAAATATATATATGAAATGAATAAATTAAATAAGTATATAAAAAAGAAAGAAGTATCTCTGTATTCAAGAGAAAGTGCGCGATGCCTAAAACATCCTGTATGTATATATATGTACACCTTTTTTAAGCTATACGAGAGGTAAGTGGCCGTAGAGACGACAAGCTCGATTTCGTAAAGAAATAAAAAAATAAAGAAAAAAAAGATGGAGGAAGATGTAATAAAGATGCGATATCGGTAATAGCGATAACAATATTGCAGGAAAATTTTTCTTTGTATTTTGTTACTAATCGAGGACGAGGATTGTGTCTCGCGGCTGGTCATTTATCGATTTTACGATATGTGTAAGGCTCGTTGTATGCGACGATTTTATAAAGACGGAATGCGGGGAAGAAAGCGGAAGGTAATCGCGCGCAATGAGGGACGCAAATAGATCGCATACATCCTATGGCGCAGCGAACGACGAAACGCAAGGAGCACGTGCGTTACATATGTAGTAGTCGAAGACACACTCATGCATCGCACGTGCTTGCCTCGCTCTCGATCTCGGTAGCGGTATTCTGTATTGCGAATCTGTTCATATCTTAGTTGTACATACCTTCTTACTTGCTGTAAAAAAAAAGGAGGCATTATATATATGTGTGTATTCGAAGGCGGTAGTAAGGTGCTGCAACTAAAATAATAAACAGAATCAACGATACTTGTTTTATTATTTAGAATTCAAGAAAGAAACACGAAATATAATGATAGATTTTTTTTATGTACATTCTTATGTCTATGTCTTTTATTTTCTATGAGATGCTAAACCAACGTATCCAATTTTTTATTAATATTAATTGGCAAGTTTTAAATTACAATTCTGCTAAAGCTTTATATTTAATACTTCATATTTTTTTCTGTCTGAAACTTTGCTTACCAGATATCCCTAATTTTTAGTCATTCGACAAATGTATTATACTTTTTTAGATAAAAATAGACTCGAGATCGTTTAAAAAATTTGTCGAAAGAGAGCTTAGTTCTTGGGACATCTTTTATTGAACCGTGTCGTCTCACAATAGTTACATTGTAATACTTTTTGTTGATTTAAGATGTAAGGTACAGAATTCCTCTACCTGAGAGGCTGTAACAATAACGATCTGAGTGTCGTCAAACAAAACGTAAGAGCCCGAAAGAATGCGTCTACTCTAGCTCCATAGAATAAAGAGAATGAAATGCGGTGGAAGGCGATGGAAGCCTAAACTCGCAGGATTGTAACTGTGGACACACACAGGTTGTAATGAACCATTTGTATGTACGACACTATTGACTTAAATATATAGTTTATAAGCTATGTTCGATTTATGAGACGTTTAATTTTAGAAGCTGATTTTATTTTATGGGCGAGCAAGAACATGAATCGTGCGATCATGGTAATTATGGGTAGATATTGTGAATGATTATTACACAAAGATAATGATAATTTTTTATTCTTCGACCATATAGCCTGATTTTGCTTTATTAAAAGTTAAGTTGAACAATATTTTTTTAAATGTTAGAGCGAAACAAATAATGTTTTGTTTTAGTATTAGATTGAAACGAAGCTCTGTTTAAACAAAATTCATGTATGATTAAAAGATTTGATCATTTAAACATTTATTCATGAATATATTATATAACTTGAAGATAAATTCTTGACCATTCTTTTCAATTGATTACTACAAGTACTCCGTTGTTTTTGCCTATTGTAAACTTCTTTCAATTTAACTGAAAATGGATACATTATTCATTACATAAATATGTAAACATTATACCATATATATTTGATAAATCATCATAGAGATATTTTATTTTTTTTGTTTGCTGTGTTAGGAAATTCTATCCTATTATAATATTATTTTTTGTTCTTAAGCAAGTATTTCAGAAAAATTTTGAAACATCTGTATGAATCGTAAGACTTTCAAACCAAGAGTGTTATAATGAATCATCTTGTAGGGATATTTTGTGTGGGATTTGGTTTTTTTTTATCTGCTCTTAGGAAATTCCATTCGGTTCCATTTATAATTCAGAGACAAAGACACATCTTCTACACGCTTACCTAAAACAATATAAGATGTATAATTTCAGCTTGGTAATGGTTTTTATTTTTTTTTCAAATTCAAATCATGCACATCTATGATGTCAGAATAGAACTTTGGCCATTTATCATGATTGTTGATATCAAGTCAATATTAACAATAATTAATTCATCGATATTCTTGAAATTCGAAAATAATTTACAAAATTATCTAGCACTGAAATGTAGTAAATAAATTAAAAAATTTTAATTAATCATTAAATTTTAATTAGAACTCAGTAGAGAAATGTGATTGTTGATGCAAAGCATATATGATAATTCATATTACGCTAAGACAGTTAAGCATGGTTCAATGTAAATATAAATTAGAAATAGAATTTAATAAGTTATATGGAGCAATTAAAACTTAAATTCGCGATTTTTATTATTTTGAATGACTGATATATCTAAATTTTTTCAACCTAAAGCCTTTTTAATTGCATCTCTACATTCCCAGAATTGCTAGAATGTTTACTACCTGAAGTCAAGTTACTTTTTCGTCTTTTTAAAGGTCTTTTATATGGATTTCCGCATTCCTCTAGAATGGTCAACTTTTTCTTTAAAAAAAGAAATGTGAAAAGTGAAAATTTTATGTATGTATATATGTATTTTTATCTAAACATACAAAGCTTTTTACGTTTCCACTCTAAGAAAAAAGTTTTATGATCAACTCTCAAGTAGCAATTCCTCTAGAATGGATCAACTTTTTCTTTAGAAAAGAAACGTGAAAAGTGAAAATTTTTATGTATGTATATATGTACCTTTATCTAAAACATACAAAAAACTTTTTACCGTTTCTGCTCTAAGAAAAAAGTTTTATGATCGATTCTCAAGTAGTAATTCTAGCCAATTCTAACAACATTAGTGTTGGAATGTTCCATACTATCTAGATTTCTATTATGATTGTTTAAATTCGTCAAAAGTAAATACATTTTTTTATTAATTAAAAATTTAATTATTACATTTTATGAAAATAATAAATACATCCAATAGAAGCACATATTTTCCAAAAATTCTAGCCAAAAAACGACAAGTTCACTGATTCATAATCTGTTTCACATGAAAATACCATGGTGGAAGATACTAGAAAAATCTATATTATAGATTTTTATATATTTTCATATGCGAAATTTTTTTCGAAAATTGGCCCAAACCGAGTAAACGAGAATGGATTGAAATGTATTCAGAAATAAGTATTCCCAAACGTTAAAATAAATCCTTTTCTTCAATTCAAATGTAATTTTTATTTATTTATAGGAATTGCATGAAGCACATTTTTATAATCTTCAATATAAAAATAATATAAAAAATATCTAGCTTTTTCTGTGAATGATGAATATTGCTCAATTTAAAATTCTGAGTAGGAAATGCTTGAGAAAGTTTCCCAATCCAGTTGAATCCAGTGGAATCCAATTCAATAAAAAGAAATTTCTTTATTCAATTAGATTTATAATGGACTTAAAATACATTAAAATTTTAATCTATTTTAATATCTACTTTTGATTATTAGAAAGTTCGAAGTTACGAATCATTATCTGTAGACTCAACGTTCAATTGAAATTTTTGCGTGCTCTATTAAATGCATTTATCTCTCTCTCTCTCTCTCTCTCTCTCTCTCTCTCTCTCTCTCTCTCTCTCTTTCATTAAAATGCTTTCAATTAAATTCTTAATAAATAAATGTTTATTTTTAACGAATCTAAACAATTGTAATATGGAAATAGTATGGAACATTCCAGTATTACTGCAATATTAAATATAGGGTCTTATTTTCGGAAAATATAAATTTTTCGAGAATAAGATCTCATATTTCAAATCTATAATCATGCGCCGTCTTAAAATTTCAGCCAACAAAATGATCATAAAGCGCTTTCTAAATTGTATTTCTATTGAATATCGATTTTTACTCGAAGAATCGCAAGTCTATCCATTCCGTGTGAAAAAATTGTAGGTCTGTTCTTTTTCGTTGAACTTCTTGCACCCCATATATCTTTCCTCTTTTTCTCTCCCTATTGAAGAGAAAAGAAGAAAAGACGGTATCTTTGTTTTCTCTCTCTTCAATATCCGGATATATGTATATTTATCTTGTTTTAAGTGCAAATATTTTTGAGAATTACAAATAACAGCGAACAGACCTATGGACAGATCAAAGATATGCGTATAGAGATCCTGGGGATCGAATAAGATTGATTGGTTATCGTAAACGCATTGGTGGAGGGAGAGGAAACGTTGCATGACGAGTTGTGGTTGGTCGGTGCGGTAGCCTCGGGATGCTTTGGAGGTTATAGCGAGCGTCCGGCGAAGATCGGGTTTTTGTTCGTGAGTTACCGCGCGGGTGGCTCAGATCGGTGGCAGCAGACGCGTTTCGTCGTTGCGAGCGGAAGGACGCGTATCGGGTTTGATACGAGTGGCGGCGCATCTACCGCAGCTACCGTCTACACGTGAATTCAGGCCGCTCACGCGTTTTACGTACGGTAAAGTGGACTCGATGTCGATAATATGTCGGCTACGAGCAACGTTAGGACGACACGGATGCATAGGATGGCCTGTCGGGCCGTTTGACGATTATTTATGAATTCACGGAAAGATCTGAGGAGAGGGTATTCACGGTACAATTACAACAATAACAACAACATCAATAACAATAATAACATGGTGAAGGAGAAGGCGAATTCGATCCGCATGTATGACTCGGAGGGCTACAGACGTAGGGCCGCCTGTATCTGCGTCAAGAGCGATCTCGAGGATGAGGTAAGCCAGCTGGCAGATGGCAGCCACCTGTATCTTTGCCGGCATGCGGTCGTTACAAGTGCCATGCTCGAACCGGCTAGTTTTATTTTTCTCTCCAAGAGTCGATCTTTTATCCGATTGACCTGAACTGTTTCGTCGAAGTCGACAAATAAATTGAATTCTCTTTTTCTCGCATGAAATCTCTCACATATACCGTGAATTCTTACAGGTATTACTAGTTACATCCAGTCGAAGACCTGACAGTTGGATAGTACCAGGCGGTGGCGTCGAACCCGAGGAGGAACCAGCGGTCACCGCTCTTCGCGAGGTCCGGGAAGAGGCTGGTGTTTTAGGACAGTTAGGCCGTTGTCTTGGCACATTTGAGGTTATAACTCGTGATGTATGCCACACAGATATTATGTTATAATCCTTCATATATCATGTTTTCCCTTTTTTTTTTATTAATGTACTGTGTTCTATACATAGCTAAATCATTAGCTGTGTTCAAGAAACAAGAACAACTTTTTAATTGTTGTAAGATTGTTTAATATGATTGGTTTATATATTTTGATCCAGTGAATAATTAAAAAGCCCTGTTTTTTTTTAACTTATTGCTTTGTTTATCTTTTTCCTTTTCTCTTCATGTTGGAGAAAAAAGGAAAAGATATGTCAATAATATAAGAAGTTTAGCTAAAAAGAATAGGTCTAATAACAAATCATATTTAAAAAATGTTTGTGCTCAACAAAAAAAGACAGTTTTGCAATTATTGTAAAATTCTTTAAGGATCTTACCCTTAGGTCCTTACTTGTATAAACTAATCATATTAGAGAATCTTAAACTATTGCTTTTTTTTTGTTAAATGTAACTGTAATCTATTCGCATTGCATTTTTCTCTCTTCAACTCGAATATATATTTATCATTTTAAGTGTCAAAAATTTTTGATAATTTAAACAGTGGGAACAGACCTTCAATCATTCAGTTTGTTGGTTTCGAGACCGTTGATCCCAAGCAAGATAGTAACAGTACTGATAAGGCAGATTCTTCCATTTTACATGGCTTTCCTTTTACAGAATACAGAGCACAAACACCGAACGGAAGTATGGGTTATGCGGGTGACCGAGGAGCTGCCGGAGTGGGAAGATTCGCGTGCTATCGGCCGGAAGCGAAAATGGTTCACCATACCAGAGGCCCTGCTGCAGCTTGGTCAACACAAGCCTGTCCAGCGCTCTTACCTACACAGCCTCCACAATACCAATCCACGACATAATCCCACCTCTCAGCTGTCCAATCATTCGCACTCTACGATGGCGTCTATCGAACTAATGAATAACTCTAGTAATAATACCCATTTGAGCGAACACAGCTAATATTGTTGTGGATTAAACCCGTTTTTTAATCCAAAATTCGACCGCCATGGATTCTCTCCGAGCAAAAACTCGCTGTTTCTTCTCCCTTCTTCCCTTAAGGGAATTCACTATGCAACTCTACTGTTGTGTTTTATATATATAAATTGATATTATCTATGTGTTTATCTTTATCATTATATTCTTAGGTTAATTACTACGATTATTATCACGTTTAATCTTAGATTGTTGATAAATCAGTTCGTGAAGGAGCATCTTTTCTTTTTTGTAATCATATTTTCATTTCTGATGTGACCTTTTTTTATCGCGCGAGAAGAGTGATTAAGTCAATTATTTTATTGTCATTATTATTTAGTGTTTTGTGCCTAATATACGTAGAATGCCATACACGTGATCCTTTTCCATGTATCGCATATCCTGGCTATACTGTTGCGTGAACTTTTTTGTCGAGGCGAAGCGGAAAAGTTGCGTTATACTTGTTAATATACAGACGATAACTTATGTACTTTGTATATTAACTTCTTGAATAAATTTTGTAATGATTTCTGCGAATAAGATGCGCGCAGAGCTACTGCTCTATACCCTCCGTCTAAAAAAAAATTCAAATTTTTGCAGATATAACATAGGTGTATTAATATTCATTGTTAACAGCTTAAGTTTCTCGAATAACGTATGACTTTAGATATCTATAATTTTTTGTATTTATTTTTTGCGATACTTTGTGATGACAAATTTGTATAGCTTAGGTTTTCTAGATTTCTATGGAAAGAAAGGATCTAAGGAGAAAGTGAACAATTTTTGTAGCAGACTAATATGAGACATTAAATTTTTACAATTTAAATAATTATATATTTTTATTTAATTCTCTTTACATACATCCTAGCGCACAATATTAGATTTTATATCTTTTTTTGATATTCTTTTGAAGTTTAAATATACTTGTCTCATTTTAAATACTTTAGTGCCTTAAACCTTTTTTAAACAGCATTTTTCTTGATTTTTTTTTAAAGTGACTAAAAATCAAGTACAAACAATTGAAAGTCAGATAAACATCGGCTATGCGTTCGGGAAACACACTATCAGCGCTATTTGTGTCATACTAGCCTTTTATTGCCTTGTAGACAAATAGTATAAGCATGCGCAGATCATAAAAAATCCCACGTGATAGTTGCAATAATTTTGTAACGCGGGTGAAGTCAATTTATTATTAAATTTTATATTTAAAAAGAAAAATATTTAAATAAAAAAATAACCGTGACGTTTTTTCTTAAGTAAGTACAAACTTAATTGGAAATATATTTAAGTTAATATAGTTCTTTTATCCGTAATATTTTGATCAATCATTGAGGTTAGGATGCATGACACAGGCATCAGAATTTCAATAAAAATTTTTCGAAATGTGTATAAAAAATTACATAATTCATTGCAATTATCGTTTATATACCTATATACTTTGAAGACAAATCTGAGAAAATGAAGGAAGAACCAATGGAAGACGTCGCGAACGAGAGCGAAAGCAACGAAAGCAGTGATGAGTCCATGGAAGGCGAGAATGCAAACGAAAGTCAAACAGAAAGCAAATCACAAGTGTATCTTCCAGGACAAGCTCTACAAGAAGGAGAAGAACTTACTGTGGATAAGTCGGCATATAAATTGTTGCATCACGCACAATCTGGAGCACCGTGCCTCAGCTTCGACGTGATACCAGATGATTTGGGTAATTCCAGAGAGAGTTATCCCTTAAACATATATATAGTCGCTGGGACACAAGCTGCCAGGACGCACGTTAATAATCTACTTGTCATGAAAATGTCTAATTTGCATGGTAATAAGCAGCATTCTGATGATTCAGAAAGTGAATCAAGTGATTCAGAAGACGAAGATGACAAGAGTAAGCCAGTTATGAATGTTGCTCCTATCAAACATCAAGGATGCATTAATAGAGTGAGGTAAATATTCTAGAAAAGTCATATCACATTGATAATTGAAGACTGTCGAATATATATTTGCATACATTTTTATTTGTAATGTAATTTACAGATGTACAAAAATTGGTGGAGGAATTCTAGCTGCCAGTTGGAGTGAACTGGGACGTGTAAATATCTGGAATTTACAAGAACAATTGAGTGCAGTTGAAAATTCCAGCTTGCTGACTGCATATCGTAATAAGTGTGATAAAGCAAGTGCAGATATTAAACCATTGTATGCATTTAAAGGCCATCTATCTGAAGGATTTGGTCTTGATTGGAGCTGCTTAGAACCTGGTACTCTAGCATCCGGTGATTGTAAAGGTAACATTCACATATGGCGAGTTGATAACAGTGGCGCATCCTGGCACATAGACCAAAGGCCATACAATTCACATGCTCCACACAGCGTGGAAGATTTGCAGTGGTCGCCAAGTGAAAAGAACGTTCTGGCATCATGTTCCGTAGACAGAAGGTTTGTATTTTCTATAAAATATTTATGTGCTCTCTTATATTATTAACAAGGAGAGGACAGAGAACTCGTTACAGATTTTTACTTCTTTTAATATGGTGAATCTCATAAAAAGTAAGTTGTCTAAGCGTTTTGTTGAATAGACCTTGTTCATAATATTTTTTTAATATATAAAGAAAATCTACACTAATTATATGGAAAATTCATTAAACATTTTCATATAATATATAACTTATAATGTAATGAACAAAATATAGACTCAAAGCTCAATAATGAATAGATTTTTCAGCTATGGTAACCTAAGTAAAACTTCATACCCAGACCACCTTTGATATCACAGCTCAAAAACTATCCATTAGACAGATGTCATAGACATTTATGTTGAAGGAAATCGAAATCCGCAACAAATCGATTGTATCTTTCTTGTGAATAAAATTGAAAATTGAATATTATTGCTTCACAAATTATTATGAAGATTATTTTATTCTAGCATAAAGATTTGGGACATGCGAGCAAGTCCACAGAATGCGTGCATGTTGACAGCGTCTGGCACTCACATGGCTGATATCAATGTTATTTCCTGGAATCCGAAGGAAAGTCAGTTTATAGTATCAGGCGGAGACGACGGGATGCTCTGCGTATGGGATTTGCGACAGTTCGGACCTAATGGTACAAGTCCGGTCGCTACTTTTAAGCAGCACACTGCGCCAGTCACTACCGTAGAATGGCATCCCACTGAAGCCACAGTGTTTGCTTCCGGCGGAGCTGACGATCAGATCGCTCAATGGGATTTGTCAGTAGAAGCAGATCACACAGAAGAATCTCAAGACAGCGTGTTAGCTAAGTTACCGCCACAACTACTGTTCATACATCAGGGTCAATCAGATATCAAAGAGTTGCATTGGCACCCGCAATGTCCAGGAACTATAATATCAACCGCACATTCAGGATTCAATATATTCCGTACGATTAGTGTGTAATAGAATATTATACTCTCTAGGATAATATAAAAGAATATATTTTTAAGAGTCTGTGAAAAACGATATATTATGTAAAATATATCTACAAGATCTTTATTTCTTAAATTAATTTTTATTCCTATTTATGTAATTTTTTAATTTCATAATAATCATTTTAAAGATGGACTATGATGAATTATTGTATTTAATCACAAATATCTTCACAAAATGCGTTCGTTAAAACATTATCGATTATTTATTAATTAATAATAAGGACAATAGGTGTCTTATAGTAGGTCTCCCATGTGGACAACTCCATGGATTCTGCATTTGTGCCATTTGCATTATCAGTCTCTGCATCTCGCTGAAGTTTAATGCTGTACCGATCATGACCGCGCTGCGACACGCTCTGGACGCTAACATTTGCCTAACACGACTCGGACGATATATATGCTTATCCATGTTTTCATTGCCTGCTTCTCTAATGAGGAATACTAATTCTTCAATGTCCTCTTGACCAAACTGCCAATGACCACTAACAGGCATTCCTATTAATTCTATTTTTTTGCTAGGTTCAGCTAAAAGTTGTAAAAAAAAGTTGCATGTAAGAAATTAATGATGTAAAATTTAATATTCCATCACTTTTTTACATTTTGCTAATATTTTTTAAAAAACGACTTATAAAAAAATCAATCATAGAACTAATAATGAGACAATAAAAATTTTGAGAATTGAATACATGCCTCGCTCATTGATATTAAAGGTAAATCCATTATCTTCGAACATTTGCTGATGTTCTATAAGTATCGTTTCATTCAATGCGGAGAAATTCAATGATTTTGGTACAATAAGCTTCTGAGTTTTTAGCTTCGTTTCATTATTGAGCTTCTCGAATCGAAATTTTTCGTCGGTGGCGTGTTGGTCGATAATAAATAAATCATCCTCCAAGCGAGCTATTATGAAACCAAGATTAAACTGACCTATTATCTCCATCTATAAAAGATTTCTAAGTTCAAAACATAAATGTATAAAATTTCGATATTAATACTTTACACAATAAATTATATTTAATAATTGTATATGATATAATGAAGTACATTACAAATCTCGCTCATATTTGCTATAATAACGACACAACTCAAAAAGCAAAGTTTTCTAGAAAATAAGTTTGAATCATTACAATAGTTTGAATCATTACAATTTTGTAATACTAATTTTTTGGTGTAATAATTGATTGTAGAGGAATAAAAGTATATTCTTTTAAAATATATACTTTCTTTTTTTCATTTTTTTTTTAAATACAATTCCAAATAACAATTTTTGAATTATGCTATTAAAACAAATAAGTGATATATATAATAAAAAATTATCTAATAAAAATTATATAAATTACTAACCTTCCCAAATGAATCTTTTGTCAATTCTTTTTGTAATTCTTTTTCAGCCTCGCCTTGATTAGCTTCCATTTGTACTCTATATTTTATTCTTTTAGCTATACTGGCAGATGTTCTAACGATATTTACTTTTTCGTTTAATTTTTCTTTTATCGTTATTGTACTTATCATCATTTCTGTATCTACAGGCTTTTTCATTGATTTGATATTAGTTTGAATATTACTTTCTTTCACAATATGTGATACTTGTAATCTTTTAGCTGGCGGTTGTGTGTGACTAGACGAGATTGTCCTTTTCAAGCCAAAATTTAACTCCGTTAAAGTCTTGACTGTAAAATTCCCTTG